GGGATGACTTTTTCAGTCATCAATATGAATGGATAGGATGCAACATATAATCCACCTTGTCTGCGGACAATTCTGTGAGCAAGAGCCAATACAGACAGGGCTGAGGGACCTCAGATTCCAGCCTCTCAATCTAGGACACTCTTTGGGCCATGCCCCGATGGACCGGATCTGCTCAGCTGCTTTTGTCTGGTGGGCTGTGTCCTCGGACTGTGATAATTGACCTTTCTTGTTTGGATGGGCTGTGAAGATAAGTGAGTACATGTATAAACCTCTGTCTTCTGCGCAGATGGAATATAGCCTACTGCACAAGGGTAACGATCACACCCATTGTGGAGTAATGGTCAGAGCGTTGGACTATGAACTGGGAGACCAGGGTTCAAATCCCCATTCCGCCACAAACCTCGCTGGGCAACCTTGTGCTAGTCACCATCTCTCAGCCTAACCTACCTCACAGGGTTGTTGTGAGGAAAACACGGGAAAGGGAGGAATGGGAGGCACCACCTTGAGCTCCTTGGAGGAGCCAAAGTGGGGTGTAAATGTAATAAAATAATAACAATTCATTGCTCCAACCACTTTTGTCCCTGACCTGCTCAGCATTCGGTATGCAGCTCCCAGAATGTTGATCATGAGGGAATGCCGCCCTCAGGCTGAAAAACATTCCCCACCCCTGATCTAATAACACCATCCAGGTCAAGGCACCATCCAAGTAAAAACAGCTTCCAACAACATGCTTTCACCACCTTGGCCTCTTTTCATACAAGAAGTCACTCAATTAAAGGGGGAGGGGGAGAGACCCAAAGTTATACTGTACAGCAAGTGGTCTTAATAAGAAGTGCTGTCTATTTTCAAGACATAGCACTTGCTTATTACAAGACATTTTGTGGCAATTTGCATACTAAAACTTTTAGGAAGACGTAATGAAAGGAATTAGTGAAGATGTTAAGGTTGAAATTCACGTCTGTGGGATCTGCGAAAGATTTGTTTCTACTGCAATCAAATGGTGAAGCAAACAGTTGAGAAATAATAGTTCTTTGGAAGGAAAGGAAGGAGTAGCAACAGAGGCCCGAGAGAACATCTTTTGGACAGAGATAAGCCACTGAGTTGAGGCAGGAAGAAACCCAAATCACTTATTCTAGAAAAACTTCTGACACTACAGTCTCGGGAGCATGGCTGAACGACATATCAAAATATAAATAAACCAGGTATTTTGCAAAGTGTCAAAATTCTCCATTTTGTTTCAAGCAAAACTTTCAAGGGGATAAGCACCAAGCTCTCTAGACTTAGAACTTTTGCATTATTTAACAAAATTTATACATTTACTCTAAATGGTTTACAAAGGGCAATCTAAACTATTCCTTAAAACACCAATGAAAGCAAACATTAAAAACAAATTGACATGAAATTGTATCAAAAACTAAACAAAACCAGCAATTTACAAACTATTATAAGGGGGGCGGGAATACATGCCAGTGCAGGCTTGTTGAAACATATCTTTTTAGCAGGTGCCAAACACAACACAGCAAAATTGCCTGCCTGATATCAATAGGTAGGGAGTTCCAGGTGCTGCCATAATGAATGATCAATTCCTTGCAAGTGAGGGATGAACATTACATGAGATATGTACAAACAAAGCATTCTTAACAGTCACTATGAGGCAGAAAGATATCCCCCACCTTTATGGCTGATATTTTGTATCCTAGAAGCATTTTTACATTTCTGGGTGTCTCTACAACCGAAAAACATTGTCAAACGAGAGAAAATTCAAAGAGCGGCAATAAAAGCCATCAATGAGCTGAAAACCAAAAGACAGTGAGGAATAAATTATAAGGCCTAAAAATAAAGCACATTTTTTAAAAGTACCTAAGGTTCAATAAGCATCTACAATTCAAGAAAGGAACTAAGTTATTTAAATGCAGTTTCTTATAGGGATTACACAAGGAGTTTTACTGTTCTGCTTAAGAAGTCTGATTATGTACCAGCCTTAAACCACAGGAGTCACCTACTAACATTAAATGGGAGTCAGCAACGGCACAGTACCACAATGATTCTTTACAGGAAGCAAATCACCCTCGGCTCTGGGTGTCTTCTCTGCTCTCATACCTCGTGGGCAAGGTTGCAGACAGAAACAAGTCCAGGCACAGATTTATTTATTTATTTTTTAAAAAAAGCTGTGCATGGCACACTTGTAAACTTTGGATACGGTTGCCAGCCACCCGTTCTTTTCTCAACGAAACAATAAACAGCACACCGTACGCACGTGTCAGAAGATCATTAAGAACAGCTAAAAGGTTCTCCAGGTCCAAATTCAAGACACAAATCTATGGCACACGTTCACAAACAGCACTCAAAACAAGAGTGAAAAAACACACAAACCCAATTATGACTGAGTTCTTGTGAAGGTGGAAACGAGGTCAACATCAGGCTTGCAACTGTAGGTGCCCACAACCCTGCAAGGGGCCCAGTCCTAGGCCCCCAGGCAAACCATGAACCCTAACCATGAACTCTGGAAGAGGGAAATCGCGGTTTCGGAGGTACTATGCCAAACCATGGCTTAGCACCCAGCAGTACAGCATCAGCAGGACCAAAAGAGATCCAGCTAAGCAGATATATTATCCTCTTTGGGAGCTCGCACACTCATGCTAAGCCATAGGGTAGCTTAGTGCAATGTGCACACCGAACCAATGTGAAAAAAAAGTGAGGAGTAGTGTACTCTTCTGCCCTCCTGGGCAGAAACAGCTGGCTGGAGGCACAATTCTCCATCCACTCTAACCCCAATGCAATACAAAAGACTAATACTATACAAGTCACTATTTTTCCTCTTAGCCTGAAGGCAAAGAAGAAGGAACAGGATAAGCATACATCCCACAACAAAAGTGGCAGTGCTAACAGTGCAAAAAATGGCAAAAATGAAGAACTTTACTGCTTGAAATAAACTGCAGCTGTCTGGAAAAGTAGACACAAATGTGTTCTCATTGGATAGACTTCGCGCGGGGGGGGGGCTCAATTCATTGCCATATTTAGGTCTAAGACAACAGGGAACAGTAACCTGCAGAAATTCACTTTTAAAAAATGTCCCAGTCGACAGCTCCAGGCAAGTTAAATCACTTTTGACCTCCTTCTGCCCAAGAGCTTGTATTCTGATCTTTCCTGTAATAGGCTAAACATTAATAAAATTAAATCACATTGTCTAGCATTGCCATGAGTTTAATAACCACCTGGACAAAAAAGGGAATTTGTAGCCAAAGACAAAGCTCCCAGTTCTAACAAGATTAAACATATAATGCAGAACATGAATACACCACATGAAAGGCATTAAGGAAGGCTATACAATCCAAAGCAGAGTTACCTAGAATCTAATTCTCTTGAGATCAAATGAAAAGTTTAGAACCAGGGTGCAGGTTAACAGAAGAAAAATCAGCCCAGAAGTAAATACAATGAACAGTGACCGCAAACAAACCCTACAGGTGGTCTCCTTGACCAATGTCTGTGGGCCCCCCAGGCCAGCTCAGAGCCCCACAGCTCTAAGCAAAGCACCCCAAACCACAGGCACTTCTAACTGGTCTATTTATTTCCTGGATATCCCGTCACCTGATTGACTCATACTCCACAGGGCAAGGCAGCTGGGGACAAAAACAACAGCTGCTTGAGGTTAAACTCACATCCCTCAGCATGTTTACATGTTGGGGGCAGTGAGGCTGCACATCAGCCCACATCACCTCCCCTCTTCCCAAATCACATACCAACTCTTCCCCATTGGGGAATGCCCCTGCCTTCCAGAACCTGCTGGATGCAGGAGCTGCTATTTCCTGTTTCTCCTAAAACTCTACCAAGCCTCCCACATCCCATGATAAGGTCTCTGTATTCCTTTGCTACTTCCTTCCAGGGCTCTAATAGGTCCCTTGGTGTGCTGATAACCACCACTGCCACACACACACACACACACAAATACTTGTCCACCCGTTTTGTAAGATTCCTCTTTACATCCAGTAGGCAGGCCTAAGAAAAGACAATTTTGTCCCCAGCCCATTTCCAAGCAGATACCAATCACCTAGCACCCTTTCCCTTCTGGCACCATTTGTTTGTTTGTTTCTGCCTGTCCCAAATGTCGAGCAGAGTTCTCTGCCTGCTCAGAAGCTACTGAAGAGTGTAACGTCACATCACATTTCATTCCCCATCCTAATGTCTTCTTCCTCAGTTCCTTGGGACAGGCATTGCGAACCTTCCGCCCTCCAGATGCTGCTTAACTACAATTCCTATCATCCCTGGCCATTGGTCTTGCTAGCAGGGACTGATGGGAACTGCAGTTCAGCAACATCTGGAGGGCCAAAATGCCAAAGGTTTCCCATAGCGGTTTTAGGATGACTGAAGGCCCCATGCTGGAACAAGTGTCAGAGAACTTCAAGGAGTTAATGTATCCTATATAGTACATGGATGGGGAACCTGTGGTTCTTGAGATGTTGCTGCACAATTCCCCGCATCCCTGACCATTGGTCCTGCTAGCTAGGGATCATGGGAGTTGTAGGCCAAAAACACCTGGAGGGCCAAGGTTGAGGAAGCCTGCTATAGAAGAACCTCGTTCTATTTCCTTAAGGTTTGCATAAGGACTGAACTCGGAATCTAATTCCCACACTTGAAGCTCACTGACAGACGTTGAAGCAGTCATTCTCTCTGACATGCCCTCACAGGGCTGTTGTGAAGCTTTTGTTTTTTGTAAAAGACTCCACCAGCTGAGATCTCTGAACACAGGCACAAATAATAAACAGGGAATTACCTTCCCTGATACAACGAAGATTCCATTTTCTTCCTTACGAGATATTTAATATTACCTAGAAGGCAAAGGAAGATGTCTCTTCATGCCCCTGCTGCAGTTTCTCTTAATCTACCACAGGGGTACAATCTTCTGAAAATGAGGAAGGGGTAAAAATTCCCCTACATACAGTATAGGTTAAGTTGACTTTAGCCTTTCATAGCATACTTTTTTTAAAAAGTAGAAACCCTACCTTTCCATGATGTGTTCTAAGTTGAAGAATAGGAGTGCACTTTCAGGATCTCCAAAGGGTTAAGGTACAACTAACCAGGTGTCCCAAGTCTGCGCTCTCCATTTTAAGAGGCTAGAAAGAGTTTTGCCAGATCAAGGCCCATCTAGCCTGGACTCTTTAGTAAGGAACTGCAGCAACTAGCAGGCAAGTTAAAATAACAAATAAGGGGCCCACCAGAAATTGCCCTGTGGTCTTTCTGATACCCACCCTTGCCTTTAAGCAGAGGTTTCCCAGTGAACCTCCTGCCTCTCAATTACCTCATGAGTGTGTGAACTGGGGTCGGTCCCTATTTGAGAGAGAGAGAGAAGGTTCTTGGTCTTCCCTCTTTTCCTCTTACCCAGCCAAAAACCTTTCAGTCTTTAAGTGGCAGCTGTCCATATAACCCCTAACCCTTCCTTCAGCTTTGGGGAGGGGGTGTCAAAGAAGAAAAAGAAGGCACCCCTAAGATCTTTCGCCTCTCCCAATACCCTTTTCCTTCTTATCTTCCCTGAAGTCTACCACTTGAAGCATAAAACTTTACCCTTTGGGGGGGGCGGTGTAAGAAGAGGAAGCATTCCCCAACCCCCCTCCTCCTCTAGTGTAAAGTGCTCTGAAGGGAACTAAAAGTATTTAAGCAAAAGCTTCCCTTGTCATTCTTTCACCCTCCTTTCCTTTGTGTGAAGGGGACAAATAAACAAGCAATTTTAGAGCCCTGTGCCCTCCATAGGGCAAAGTCCTCTGAAGGGGATTATACCCCCCCCCAACATTTCACCCTCCCCACATATTCCTCTAACCCTCCTTCTGGGGGAAGTAAAGGGAAGAGGGGCTGCCTAAGACCCCTATCCCCCCCACCAAAAAGAGTAAGGTCCCCTGGTGGGGGGCAGGAACACACGCACCCCTCCCTAGAGCCTGTTACATCCCCATAGAATTCCCCTTTCCTTCCTTCAAGTTGGCCCAAAGAGCCTTTTTCTTTGTAGGGGGGGGGAGCTCGCCCCAACTCTTTCCTAAGGTGGGGCTGTAGGCAAAAAGAGGGGGGTGGTCTCCCATATCATTTCTCCCCCTTTTCCTCGCCCCTCTCCCAGGTTATGTAAGCGGGGGACGGGGTGTGGGGGGAGAGGCAGTGAGAAGAATAATCTGAAGAGACCCCCCTCCCTCCCCTACACGACCCTAACCAAGCCTCCTCGGGAGTAAGCCCCACTGAATTCTCCCCCAGGGAAAGTGGGGCAGCTTAAGTAAATATATGGGGGGTAATTTGGGCAGAGAGAAGAGCCCCACCCCATGTATGTGGGGTAGGGAGGAGAGAGAGAAAAAGGGGGGACCCACTCTTTCCCCCGACCCCCCACACACACGGAGGGGGGGGAGTGAGGAGAAAAGACGGCCCCTAGCCCACGGGCCCGCGCACGCGCTCTCGCTCTCTCACCTGACTCCGCGGGAGGGGAGGGGGGCTCGCGAGGGTCCTCGCGCCGCAGAGTTCCAGCCGCCGCTTGGTTCCTCCGAGTCTTCAATAAACTTTTTTTTTTCCTCTCCCCCTTTTCCTCCTTTCCCTTCCTCTCCTCCCCGGCCCCGCCCTGTCCGACAGAAACCGACGCGGGCGGGTGCTGATTGGCGGAAGCCGGGCGGGCGGGCGGAAAGGAAAAGGAGGGGGCGGGGTAAAGAAAACCCAGGAGGGAGGGAGGGGGAAAAGCGGCGCTGTCGCTGCTTTCTGACACGGCTGCTGCCTCCGCCTCCTCTTCCCTTCCTGGTGACTGGCAGCGACTGCCGGGGACGGCGCGCGACGCGAACCAAACTAATAAGAGCGAGTGGGGCGGGCGGAATGGGAAGAAGGGAGGGCTTAAAAGCCAGCTTTAATACCCTCCAGATGCTCGTTGGACTACAACTCCCATCAGCCCTGAGTAGCGGCCGCGCTGGCGGGAGGCTGATGGGACTTGGAGTCCAACGCTTGATTGAAGCAGCGTTTTCTGGGATCTTTGTTTATTTTTAAGGGACTTAAATGTTTCTTGAAAACAAGCGAGCTGCAAGCAACTAGGCTCTGGACCATAGCTGTCAACGTTTCCTTTTTTTTAAGGGAAATTCCCTTATTCCGAATAGGATTCCTCGCAAGAAAAGGGAAAATTTGACAGCTATGCTCTGGACAGATAAGGGAACGGCTGTCGCTCAGAGGCAGGGCTTCTCGAGAAGGTCCCCGATTCAAATGCCGACATCTCCCGGTTAAGCTGGGGCTGCACTCTTGCCTGGAACCGAAGCTGAAAGTCACGGCTTCCTGCCAATAATCCTGGGGAACTGTAGTTTGGTGGAGGGTGCTGGGAATTGTAGTTCCGAGACAAACTACAGTTCCCAGGCTTTGGGGGGGCCCGACATGATCATTGATGTGTTATCAAAATGCTTTGATGTATGGTGTGGAGGTTACTTTTGTGCTTTGCCTGAGATCGTTTTTTATACCAAATACTGATCCTGGCTGACTATGCAAAATAATAATGGAATTATTTTTTATCTCTGAGTATGTGCAAAATATATTTTTCCCCATCCCCACCCCCTTGAGACGCTACAGCCTACCCTTACTAGAAGTGCCAATAGTCTTCCTCTGTGCCTGCATTGCTTTTCTGTGTATTTATCACCTGTGTGTTAGTCTGGCAGCTATTTAATAGGCGGGGTTTTTCCTGCCATTTAATCTCCATTCTGGAGAAGGATGAGGTCTCATTGACAATTGTTGGGCAAAAGCTTCTTGCACTGTGGGAGGTTGGACTAGATGACCCTAATGGTCCCATCCAACTCTACAATCCATACGTTTACAGCACATTTATACCACTTTAACAGTCATGGCTCCCCCTTCCCCCACCAAAGAAGCCTGGGAACTGTAGTTTTTTAAAGGCATTGATAGTTGTTAAAAGACCCACTATTCCCCACACAGAGCTACAATTCTCAGAGTGGTTTAACAACCAATTCTTCATAGAGAAGTCTGAATCCAAACTTGGGAAAGAAATATATTCAATAAACAAAGCAAGCTCTATAAGGGAAATTGGAGTCTCCCACTCCAGCCTTTCTCAACCTGTGGGTCCCCAGATGTTGTTGAACTACAACTCCCATCACCCCTAGCTAGCAAGGCCAGAGCTCAGGGGTGATGGAAGTTGTAGTCCAACATCATCTGGGGACCCACAGGTTGAGAACCGCTCTAACCCATCACATCCACATTCAAAAGCATACAGCTTTAAAGCACATGAAATGAAATGTCGTTTAAGGGTGCTCAGGAGGATTGTGAGTGGTAAACTACAGTTCCCAGTATAAATGTACTTTAAATATATTGTATTGTATGGAGCTTTTAAAGGGTGTGTGTGTTGCTCTTCTAACTCAAATCTGTGTGAATACACAGATTTCAGAGCAGGACAAGATGGTAGCATACTTAAGAAAAGCTCATGCCATTCATTTTTCCGGTGCCACAAGATTCAGTGGGGGGTTTTTTTTAGACACTAAGCACGAGAAAATAAGGCTGCCGCATGACGAAAGAAACATTAGTCATTCATCAGATGATTTTTAATTGATTCATCGATGAATTAATTGGTTTAAATGGCAAGCCTTCACAAAGGAATAAAAACAATCATTCTGAAGTGGGGAAACATAAAATGACATGTGCAAATTAATCATCAGAGGCTGTATGGCATAGTGGTCACAGTGTTGGGCTAAGACCTAGGTTCAGTTCCCCACTAGGCTATGAGGTTCATTGGGTGAGTCACACCCAGTGTCACACAGGTTGAAATTACGAGGGAAGAAGAGCCACATTGAGCTCCTTGGAGGAAAACGGGGATCCAAATATACCAAAACAAAAAATTGCAAGAGAAATTCTCTCTTGTGTGTCAGAGTCCAACAAAGGCTTCTGCCATCCCAAATGCAATTGTATTGAATTTATAGTTCATTTTTAAAATTAACTGCTACCCGCTTAACTGGGTCACTTTTTATGAGTCAAAAAGGCTGCAATCCTAGATCCATTTACTTGGGAGTACACCCCATTGCACATCACTGGGCTTCCTTCATTTCCTAACAGTGCAATCCTATACAATCTACTGCAAATAGAAGTCAAGTCCTGTGTTGTTCAGTAACACTTCTTCCATTTTACGTTGCTGTCCTAATAGAAGACATTTCATTGACCTACCTAGTGACACAGGCACACACCCCCCCTGTCCAGCCGAATGACTACCGTACCTAGCTGACTTCATTGTTCATTAGAGCAGTAGCTATTAGAGAGGAGCTAATCCACAGCCTAACAACAACCCCATATAGCATAGAAGAGCCAGTGTGGTGTAGTGGTTAGAGTGTCAGACTAGGACCTGGGAGAACAGGGTTCGATTCCCCACTCAGCCGTGAAGCTCACTGGGTGACCTTGGGCCAGTCCCTGCCTCTCTGCCTCATTTAGGAAGCCACCATATATACTAAACCAGCCCACTGGCCCATCAGGTTCAATATGGTCTGCACTGGTCAGCAGCTGCTTTTCAGGGTTTCAAGTCTTTTTCTGGAGATGTTGGGGATCGAAACTAGAACCTCTCAGGGTTGTTGTGAGAATTAAATGAGGAGGGGGAGAACCAACTTGATCTCCTTGGGGAAAAATTGGTGGGATATAAATGCAATCACCCAATCAAGAAGATATGTTTACCTATATTTCTCTTTCCTATTTATTACCCAATATCCCTTCAACCCTTGCCCTCCAAACTCCTGGGACCTGCTGCTTATTATGGGATAGGGCCATAGTGGCAGAGCATCTGGGTATGCCTGCCCCAAACAAGTAAACAAAAAGGATATGGCCAAAGAGTGTTTAGAGAAATTTAGTCCCCTTTTACAGTTTATTGTCAAATGAATTTTTCTCAGTATGGTTTTGAAATGTTTCAACTCAATAAACTCTTACTTCTGCTAGAGATTACTTCTATTTGTTTTCTTTCTCTCCCCCCCCTTTTTTTGTACGTCAAAACCAACTGTGGTAAGATACCAGTATGTTTCAAATATATACAATAGTATTAATTTTTACAACTTGCTATTGTCTTTCGTGCTTTTGAGGTAAAAACGTCAAGTTAATAATCAGTAATTGACAGGTAACTCTGTAATTATTTGAATGCAATAGTGTTTCACTGAACATAATAAATAATAGGGGTTTGGAGGTGTCAAAAACAGTACAGCAGTCTGCCTCATATTAATCAGCTTGCATTTTTACAAGGAACATTTTGGATCCCCAGGTTAATTAATTAAAGTTACCAGCCCTTCTCCAAAAAGAAGGGTACAGCTGTGTTTACAAAGCATTCGGCAAAATAAAATAAGAAATCGTCTCTCAGCAGCCAGTGATGCCTTTCCAGTCAGTGTGTGTGACTCACCTTCCCTTTCCGGTCAGTGGTGTGAGAACTATTTTATGATGTTCTCAGCAATATGGGTTTTCCTCAACAAAGATGGCTTGTTATCAGACTCTGAATGAGGATTCACACCAAAGAGTTATAGCAATACCACTTTAAACAGTCATACGTTCCCCCAAAGAATCCTGGGATTTGTTAAGGGCACTGAGAGTTTTTAGGAGGCCTTAATAGCTGTCAACTTTTCCCTTTTCTTGCAAGGAATCCTATTCGGAATAAGGGAATTTAATAATAATAACAATAAATTTTATTTATACCCCGCCTTCCCCAGCCAAGGCTGGGCTCAGGGCGGCTAACAAGCAATAATAAAAACAAGTTGAATGAATGCAACTTAAAAACAAGATTAAAATACAACATTAAAATACTGAAACATTAAAATATTAAAATGCAGCCTTATCACAGGAGGAGAAAGGAAAAAGAAAGAGGGGGAGGGAATCAAATTGGCTCCAAGCCAAAGGCCAGGCGGAACAACTCTGTCTTACAGGCCCTGCGGAAAGAAAACAGATCCTTTAAAAAAGGGAAAAGTTCCCTTTAAGAAAGGGAAAAGTTGACAGCTATGCCCTGTGAAGGGGGATTGATTGTCAATCCACACTGGGAATTGCAGGTCTGGGAAAGAAAGAGGAGTTTCCTAACAACTCTCAAGATTCTGGACTGTTTAAAGTGGTATTAAGGTAAAGGTTAAGGTACCCCTGCCCACACGGGCCAGTCTTGCCAGACTCTAGGGTTGTGCGCTCATCTCACTCTAGAGGCCGGGGGCCAGCGCTGTCCGCAGACACTTCCGGGTCACGTGGCCAGCGTGACATTGCTGCTCTGGCGAGCCAGAGCCGCACACGGAA